AGACATTGTCAATTTTAAATGTAGTGCAAAGTACCATCACCAGTATTTGCCCTTCTGAGCCGTCAACTGGACCCGAATGCCATCTGCAGCTCCGATAGTCTGGGTAATGTAGGTCCACAAAGAGACTTAAGGCATTTGCCGCACAATGTCAACCGAGTATTGTTACAACTGTATATATACATATGTATGTATTTATATTTGTACACATATTTACATATATATACATATATGTGCTTAGTTTTATCTCTGGAAGCAGTTTTGAGTTATTTAATACTATACCTATGCACTTAGTTAGTTCAATATTAATTTTCTACAGTTGAATCGAAGTCCATCTAACGGTTGGGGAGGAGCATCGAAAATGTTGCGAAAAATTAAATTTTCTCTGAACCTACTTCTCTCTGGTCTGGGTCAACAGCACCGCACTTCATTTGGCGAGACGTCTAGGGTGTGACAAATGTCTCAGTTAGCATTAACTTTGTGGCACAGCGAAACCTTAGATGCGAAACCACTATCGCGACTATGCGTAGGCATGTATGTTTGTATAATGCATATTTTGCTCGATAACTGAAAGTAATATTAAATTAGAGCGCGACCGTTTCAAAACTAATAGGATTTGTAATTGTTGGAGCTCAGTTCCGTCACTAATACATATATACATATTTATATGATATTTGCTGGCATTATTGGAGCGTGATGTGAACGTCAATACGAAATCAAGAGCAAAAGTGAATAATAATGAGGAATGAGGAATCAAAGAAGTCTTATCTCAAAGCAGAGTAGTATTCTTATAATAACTACCCAATAAAGCATTTAATTATTAGCTTCAAATTACTGCCACTAATTTAGTTTGAACTTATTTTCAGATTTCTTATTCTATAATAGTTTCAATGCGGACTTTATTGGGGCGCGATGTGCGATTCAATGCGAAGGCAAATACCAAAAATGGATGACCCAAAGAAGCTTGAAAAAATCTACACTCTTCTGATAAGCTAAACGAAAATGGATTTACTCAAAGCAGAAGAATATTTATATGAAGTAATTTTTTTCTAATGTTTCTGCTCTTTTAGAAAGGTTCCAATTACAAATAACCTTGATTTTAATTACAACTGATTTTCAGTATTTAATATAAATATTGTCTTTTGGAACATTTGGTAATATTTTATCTTGATGAAGCGACAGAAGTAGTCATTTGATTTGCTGTGCGGACTTCCACGTGAAAGGTCATGGGCTCGAATCCTGGCCAGACGAGCGTTCAAAATTATAATAAAATAATTTAATTTTAGATTTAAATAATTTTTCAACTTGCGGTAGGGAATATTTCCGCCATGAATTAAAAGCTCAAGACGCACACCACAAATCAGACGAGGGGATTGGTTGCAAACTCGCTTCGATGCTTAAAAAGCGCAAATTATATATGTACATACACATATACAATACCTAATGTAAAAATAAATCCACTACTTTTCCAATAGATTTTACCAGTATCTGTATCTCGCGTTGTATAAGTTCGATCGGGTTCCACTAGATGCCGTTAGAAAGATGACATTTCGCACTAAAAAGCTTTATTGACACTAGCAGAGAGGAAGTACGCTGTAGTTTACAATTTTTCTTCAATAAGGGCGAAATAGCAAGCCAGGTAGCCGAAAATATGAATAGAATTCACGGTCCTGGTACTGTTAGAATCAATCATACACAATTTCGGTTTCATTCCGGAAAATTTGATGTAAGAGACGCTTCGCGGAGTGGAAGGCGATTTGTCGAAAATGTCTATAAAATCATGCACATTGTCGTGTCCCATGTAAGCACTGCCTTTTTAATTATATACTTCATAAGCCATGAAACTAGTTGCCCACTCTGTTCGATATTTTTTTCAAAAACTAACTGAAACTGACACTTAAACCGATTATTTTTAGTTGAAAAATATATTCATGAGAAATAATTTCTGAGATACGGTGTCTAGAAGAGACCAGTCGATGCCTAGCTAGGTCAGCAGAACAGTTGATTCAAAGATTTGATGTTTAAGTCGGCAAGGGCTGTTTTGCTTGAGCTAAGCTATGTAAGACCATCCGTAGATAAAAATGGCAGTTTACTCAAAGAATTGACAAAAAATGGCTTAGAAGGTTCGATAAGCAAGGAAACAAGGCTGGAATTGAATGGTAAAGAAATTTCAAAGAAATGATTTAGGACTCCAATAATAGTTCTAGGTAGCTGTTTTATAGGCAGGTATGCTAATTGCCTAAGGATATCATATAGGGATTATTGTAGAAGCTGCTAGGCAGTAGAAGAACAAGAGACGGTAGAGCATCTTCTATGCGAAAAAAGATTTCGTAACAATCGACCTCGGCATCCTTCACCATATCTCAGAAGTTTCACTTATAAACCCGTTACTTCAAAGTAACTCAACCAAGGCACCAAAGCTATTCATACAGATAGCGAGTCTCGCTGGTACCACGATGTACCTGCTAATATACTAGATGTCCTGCCAGCAATCACCGTGCCCCACCACCTACCCGTATAAGTTATCTGAGTAAAGCAAAAATAATTTATGAAGTATTTTATTATTCTTGAACAGCACCCATTGTGGACTTTTGTTTGGTTTGGCCTTTAAATGCTTGTATCTTGTAAGTCCTCATGGAAATATAGAAATATAATTTCTTAGAACTTCTGTTTTGTTTGAGGCCGAAACAAATGCGAACATCGAACTTCTTTGAGCAGTCAGCCCAGTTTAAATGATTCCAAACTTCATCGCCTTTTTGGCCGACAGCTTACATGCCGACCAGAGCGAGATGCATCCTTAACATTGAAATTTCCGGCACGGTATCGTGCAAACGACTCCTCGGTCCGACGTTTATTTGCAGCATTCTCATCGTAAAAAGCAAGAATTGTTCGTCAGGTCTTTCTACGCTTTCACCCCTTTAAAAACATCACGGAACGTAGTTCTTTCAGAAATTTCACTCCTCTTTCAAATCCAATTGTATTCGCGTTGCTCGAAACAAGATATTCAACACAATGTAGGGACGAAAACCCTGCAGACCTTTTGTGTAACCCTATATTTTTGCTCGGCGATAATTTTGACCAAGCTATTTTTACACAAATATATTTTTTATTATATTTCTTATACAATAACAACAACATTAATTTTATCAGCCTACAAATATAAAAAAAATTCTGAAGGCAAGGTATTTATGTATATACATAAGCAAGCAGATATATATAAGCTGAGGAAAAAGGCCTCATCAAAAAATATTGTCTTCTTTACGAATTATTCATTTTGGTCAATAAAAACGGTCACCTGAACCACAGTGCAATGTAGCGGATGAACAGCAAATTCCATTCTTCGTTTCTTATTCTATTCGGCCAGAATTACCAAAAAAATACTGCGGCCTTAGTTTTGAACTACAAGAAAGTTGTTTGAAAAATCCACAACACAAAAGTTGTAGATTCTTAATATCGATTTTTATAGCAATTCTTCTATCCCGAAAGCAAAAAAAGGAACATTTTCATTTATATATGTATCAATCCTTAATACCAAATGAACGGTGAATATTTCACCTAAATGATTTATGGTTGTTGAAACTTACAGTTTTTCTGCATTAAATTTGCACAAATAATTTTAAATTGACTTACAAATATACATGCACACATACATACATACATATGTTAGTTAAATAAAGCTTTCATTCATACAAACGAGCTATTTACACATGTATGCATGCTAGTACGTATGTATGTATGCACATATAAGCGTTGGCTGTGCATCAGCATTTACATAAATTAACCAACCAAAAGCGGGCTGCCCGAGATTGTTGCTTAAAAATTCATTACAACAAATGAGTGCATGGAAATGGTGGAAATACCAACAAAAACACAAAAATGGCCAGTTAAACAAACAATACAACAATTTAATACAAAGCCATTAAACATTTTTTGGGGAGGGATTTAGTCATGTGGAGCGAATGGAAGAAGTCTGCTTTGTGCTTTAAGTGGTTTTCTGCTCTTTTCGTGCGAGCGTTAGTTACTTTTTGGCTTATCTTTCACTGATACTTTTCTGCTCTGCTGTGATTAAAGTTTAAAACAATGGGAAGCTAAAAGCAATAGCTGAGGGTGCCTACATACATACATATGTACATATGTACATGTTAACACAAATATTATATGTATGAACATATGCATATACATGCAGACATACCTACTTATGTACATATATATGTATATGCATATTTGTATGCATGAAAACCCGATAAGTATGTGCCCATGTAAATGGCAGCAACAACAAATCCAATTGGCATATTTAAAACGCAAAAAGCCAACTAAAAGATACGAAGTATCTGCCAGATACATTAAATGTACTAATAAGAAAAACGAGTTCAATGTATGCCATACTCTTTGCACCGCTCAACTCACACACACACACACTCACGTACACTCGCAAAGCAAACAAACTAATATTACTCACACCACAGCTCTCAGTTGACAAATGAGCGGGAGAAAAAAATAGAGTACATCTCCCTGAAAGTGACTCGAGCAATCGAATTGGAGTGGTGTGAGTAGAGTGAAAATTTCACATCTCTCACCCTACTCTGTTCGCCTATATGTATGCTATATGTATACGTATACACCAACACACACACACACACACACATACACACAGATAAGGTGAGTGAGTTCGCCTGGCTATGTCGGCGCACAGCCATACACGTTGGAGGTCTTGCCCCGCCGTAGAGCGCAGACATAGGCCACACAATCGCATATCATACTCCGCTACATACTGCAACGAACCATCGTCAGCACCACCACCACCACCATCACCGCCACTAACATTACTGCGCCGCCCAGACCCCATCATGTGAGCGAGCGAGTCAGCGCGTCACTTCCACTCAAATACGTGCACCTTCTAGAGTTGAGTGTGCGAGCAGTGCAGCCGAATGAATGCATGACTTAGATTTCAGGGTGGTTGACTGCGGCCAACTGCACTGCCGTTATTGTCTTAGCGATGCGGTTGTTTGTGCGCTGAGCTGTGAGCTCTGCGTCTGTGTGTGCTATGCTTACTCTTAGTGGCAATCTGTTGGGCTTGAGTGGTGGAATGAGAGATTTGTGTGATGTGTCGTTAGGTCGAAACGGTCGAGTCGGGTCGGGTCGTGTACCTTTTGCCACGAATGTTTTGCCAGTCAGGCTCTAAAAGGCCTTACGAAAACAGCTGCGATTTTGCTGCTCGCATGACGTGCATCATTTTTTCCGAATTTCTGAACAAAGTTATTTTTTATTTCCTCTTGCGTAGTTATGCCAAGAAGGAGATCTACTGAAATTTTGCAAAGTGTGTGAATATCGTTTTAAGTTTATTTTTAAAACGCACGAACTAAAATTAACGGGAGATCGTTGCATTAATTTCGAATAAAAAATATTTTTGGAAGAATACGTGCGAAGTGCGGCGATAAGGAATCTTGAGTGCTGTTTAAAAATTATTTATTTTAATAAATTTTTGTATATTTTCCAGCGCGGAAACGCGTCAGCCAAGGAAACGCGTGTGAAATAAAGCTTTGTTGCTCTAACAAGAATTATGATAAAGTGAAAAATATTTCATATGAGTGTTTTGAAAAGAAATTCATTATACAAAAAATGAGTACTGGCTAAAGAGAATATACAAAGAATTTTCGAAAAAAAAAATCAATTGAAATAAATGAAACAAAATTAACAGTTCTGAGTGTTGCATTTCTGACAAATAATCACTCCTGAAAATAAGTAGATAAAAAGATTTTTGCCACGGTTCGTGTGCTGGATATACGCGCTGAAATATACGCTGTATATACGAAAAGATTTGAGCTCGGTTTAACCAGCTAAACGGTCTCGTTCCGTGTAGTGTTGACGAGATACCAGCAAAGTGCATAATTCATTCCCCAATTACGCCCCGCAAGCCGCCAAAATGATCACCCACAACTCACTGAGTGTATATGGTGGCGGCGTTATGTGCGCTTCCCCGTCCACCGCGCCTGGCTTCTTCAATCCACGTCCGCAATCCGGCGCCGAGCTCTCCGCCTTCGATCTTGGTCTGCCGCGGTCCATGGCGTTGGGTGTACCACCGCCTTCCGCGTGGCATGATCCCAATCTTGGCGGACACCTGCATGCTTCCGCTGGACCCGGTTCGCTGCCCGGTACAGCAGGGGGCAGCTCAGTGGGTACTGGCGGCGGCACTACACCATCCAGCATTGCCAGTCAACAGTCGGCGGGTATCAAGCAAGACCTTTCCGGTCTGGCGGGTACCGGCGGCCAGTCAAACACATTGAACCAAAGCGGACATCACACAATCAAAGAGGATCTCTCCAGCCTAACAGCAGCCTCTGCGGCGGCTAGTGCAGCGGCGCATCATGCAGCGGCAGTTCACCATGCGACGGCGGCACAACAGAATCATGGACAGGAATTGGGGGTTATGATCAAAGGCCAACAATCATCATCAAGCTGTTTAGGTGGTGGCAGCGCGGGCGGCGGTGGTGGTGGTGGTGGTGGCGGCGGCGGCGGCAGTACTACGCCTAGTTCACAGGCTAACAGCCTCCATTCACAGAGCAGTAATAGCGACTCCAAACAAAATATGGACTGTAAGCAGAACATCGAATGTGTGGTTTGCGGCGACAAGAGCTCCGGCAAGCACTACGGACAGTTCACCTGCGAAGGTAAGTAAAAAGATAGTTGTTTTTTTTTCAAACTGTGTCAGTGTCCGTGAAGGTCGAAAAATATCATTATTATAAAAATTTCAACAACAACCAAATCCATATCTGCCGAATGGGCTAATCTACTATTATATTAAAGAGTTGACAACGCGTTTTTGTTATTTTCTTGAGTTGTCGAGCTTAACTATCCAGAAACGTTTTGATAGATAAGTACGTGTGGAGGCAGGGGCACTCGTATGCCTTTGAAAATTGTCACCCATTTTCCAACGGGTTTATAAGTCAATAAAATTATATTAACAGCTAAGTAAACACATAGCTGACCCACCCTCCCAGCTGAACAGAGCTCGATGCTTTCAGCTCAACTCATGACCTCATCAATCTAACTAGATACCTATGTATGTATGTATGTATGTTTGCGAGTAAAGTTCGCAAATAACCTCTGATTCTTGGCACTCATTGCGCGCATCACTCGCCTCACCCCAACAACACACGCAAAGTTACACCATACAAAAACAACGCCACAAAAAAAACAACTCGAAACAAAAAGTTGATAAAAATTTTCAAAACCGCAAATCAAAAAATGCCAATCAATATGTCAAACGTGTGCGCATACGAAGTGCCACAATCATGTATCAATTGCCACGTAGTCATACGAGCTCAGCGTATTCGCCACCGAGGGTAAGGTAAAAGCGGAACAAAGAACTATCCATGCGACGGTAAATGAGCAGAATCTCCCCTGAAAAGCCGAAAATCTAACCTCTAGTAGGCCACCGGTTGAGCGTTGCTTGTGTATGTGTTTGTGTGTGAGCGCCTAAATGCGCAGTCATTATCGCCGTGCACACACGATCCGAAACCACGAACTGCTTTTCGATATCTTTTTGCTATTTTAGAATTCAAAAGTAAAAGCAAAAAATAAATCACAAAGTCTGATATCGACTACTCGTGATCCAAGCACGATTGGACGGGTGGAGCGGTTGATATGGACATACGAATGTGGTGACCCCATGCAAGGTGGAGCGCCGATGATGATGACCAAACAGAAACACAGCCAATGAACGGACAAACCGACGGACGGGCGGTCGGAAACTAGACGTTTCCCTAGTTTGATAGTTTGATAACTTGATGCTGTGATAGCTCAATGCTTGGTTGCAGACAACAAGTGGGGTCAGTTGGTTCGGCGTGCATCATTGTTGTTGGAGTTGAGAAGCGTGCCTGGCGCATTTGGTGATTTTTGACAGTTCAGGTGAATTATGAGAGTTTGATGAGTTGGCGAAAGCAATCGAAGGCGAAACGTCGCAAAGAAAACAAAAAAAAATACAAATTATGTGGAAATGTGTGTGTTTGTATGTTTGTATCTCTGAATAACTGAGTTAACTGAGTGAGCTGCCATGCAAATGCAAAAGTGTCTAGTTTCGTAAATCACGATTAATGAAAAAAATCCGTAAAAATAAACTACAAATTTTGTTTCGACATTTCAATTGGAGTTTGGCCGGCGTGGCCTCAACTCGAAACATTTTGATGTAAATGCCAAAAACGCTTGTTTCGCACTGACAAATCACCGAATTCTATTATGACTGATTAGTCAGCTCAGCCGGGAAGATATATTTGTACATTGCTTAAAATAAAATTAAAAATTATAATAAAACATAAACGAACTCAGTCTGGTTTCGGCCGCCACCAGCATTTTTCCATTGCACTGTTGTCGGAAGCTACGCAGTTATCTCAGCTAATTCTCACACTACGAACTGATTAGGCGATAAGATAAGAGAACTCAAAGTCGCCAGCCACCAAGCAAGCGCCCATTTCGCAGCGACAGTTATTTAAGCGATTCGCGCATCCGAGCTCTACGAGCACCACATATTCATATCTAGATAACTGTAGTTTTTCAAAGGCAATTATTGTGCAAACATGTAAACTGTGCACTTAATGCGCGGGTAGAATGAAAAACACAAACGCCGCGAAGGGACAAAAGGTAAAGCAGCGACAGAGGTAGTCTGGGTGCCACCTGGCAGCAGGTGAATGGCGAAATGCGACGGCACAAGAAGTATTCCTTCTTGTGGGCATTTTCAGCTCGTACCATATGTATTTGTGATTATTGAGTGCTGACCACTTTAGAGAGAGAGAGAGAGAGAGAGAGAGATAGAAGAATATATGAGCTAGAAGAAGTTATACGCATAAAAACTGAAGCAAATAATAAGCCTAAGGTGTTGGCCCAGCTTCTCGCCCGGCGACTCAGTGTGGGTGAGTTCAATGCTGCAAGGGATCGAAGAGATGTCTTCGCTGAAATGCTCAGCGCGCAGCTAAGAATTTTGAATGTATTTTCACATAAAAATCTACAAACATACAGAGCTGGCCATATCAGCGCCGGCTTTGTATTTTGTTATTACGAAGCTCCTCAAGATAGAGTAGGTCTGATAGCGATCAAGTTTTTTTGTTTTTTGTTTTTGTTTTTCATTTTTGTTTTCAAAACATTTTTCATGCTCATATCTCAAATGCTGCGCAACACTATCGCTCACCGCCACACGTACTCACAGCTAAACAACGCCATGAAATTCTACTCAGCGGACTTGGCAGGGAATCAGTTGAGGAGGGCGCAGAGAGTGCCTTCGTATGGCTGCGGCGATTCCTAGCACACACAGGCGGCGCATCATACAATGAGATCGCTAGTTGATAGCAAAACCCATGGCTGTTTGTGTTTTGTTGGCGGAATATGAGCGTGCAGCTATTTTCTATGGCGAAAATATGCACTTATGAGCGCTTACGAGCGTTTTCATTACCTCGCTGCAGCGTTGCATTCCCATCGATAACTCGCAAGTTGTTGCAAGAGTGTTTGCGGTGCAGTACAGCAAGCTTGGCTTGGCTTAGCAAAGCCGAAATAATAGATGAGCAGACAACAAAGGCAGAAATGATCTGGCAAAAGCTTTCCGCAGAACGGATAGTAGTATTCTGTAAATGTTTAATAAGGAATGTATGCGTTTCGTGCCTGAAATCTTAATCACTTGCATACATACATATGTACATAAATGCAAGAATGTATGTACCACGTAGCTATGCATAGTTTGTGGAATTATCCACTCAAAGGCCTGAATTTCGTCAACAATGCGAATTTATTAGGAATCTCTTTTGAAAATTAAACAAACTACGCTAGTTTCATTTCTATTTGCAACACAATTTCGAATATGAGCAGTTTCACCAATAACTTCATGTGGCGAATTTTCGTACTTTTCGCTTTTGCGCCGCTCCCCGCCCCAAAGGTATTCCCTCATCTATGCGAACAACTCAAATATCGCGTTGTCTGTCTTGTGTACCGTTGTCATGTATGTAGATACTGGGATTTTTGTTTGCTGTTGCTGTTGTTGTTGTTGTTGTTGTTTTCCTAAATTCTTTATCTGTTGCTCGTAAGTTGCGTTTGGCCTAGTCATGCTCAAGTAAATACGTGTCTATATGTATGTACATAGATACATATGTATGTCTGTGCATTTTCAAAAGGCCATATGACCGTCGCGACGGTTACTCATTGCTTCCTACCACTGCCCGTTACTGCTTCTGTAGTTCTTGCCAGTTTATGTTGTCGTTGCAGTTGTTGTTGTTGTTGTTGTTGTTGTAGTTGTAGTTATGCTGTCCATATGTCTGTTGTTTGCACACCTCAAATGCTTTCATGCCATGCCATGCCATGCAATGCCATACCAAGCCAAGCCAAGCTAAGCCATCCCCCATCACAACACGGCACCGCACAGCACCGCACAGCACAGTACAACTCAAGACGATGGAAACCTTCTGCCTCTTTGTGCGCATCCTCTGCCGTTTAACGCAACTGGCTTTCCTCATACATACATGACGTATGAACATGCTTATTTACCTAGATACAGGCGTACCGACATACTCATACAAGAAGATTAATTGTGGCAAACGCGATTTCTTTTAAAAAGTACTCACAGATAGCTTACACACAGAGGCACACACAGAGGCACACACACAAGCACATGCACAAACAGACAAACGCACGAGCTGAGCTGGGGCTAAGCGGAGTTGAGTAGCCGCGCTGGACACGGTGTCTGTTGCGAAAGGACATGTACGAATAGATGGATGGACGTGCTGTTGTTCACCTATGAAGATAAACGGATTTTTCTACTTTGATTTGCCTTGCCTCTTTATTGTAGTTTTATGCGGAAAGAAGAAAGGAGGAAGTTTGTTGTGCTACGAGTGTGAGTAAAAATATATTTAGATACCTACGAGTACATGAGTTTGGAGGTATTTAAGCATGCATATACACATATACATATCTGTATACAAATTTACATACTTATATATGTATGTTTGGCTATGCATATGTATGTGAGTATGTGAAAACAGCAAATTTGTGTTTTCGGCTGCTTCAGCTTATAGTGGCGCCGATAATAGACTGTAAACTAGGCTGCAAGCTTTCGCGCGAAAATTCTCGTTGCAATATTAAAAAAAAGTCCAAATTCCCTCAAACATTTACTTTTTTCAATTAAGACAATTTTCTAAACTTTTTTACAATCGATTATATCTTAAAATTTAGCACCTTACACGAGAAATCCAATGAAGAACGCGAACCTTTTAACACTTCCCACTAATGTACTGGCTTGCGCGCGTCGCTGAAGCTGCATTTGTGCATACACGTAGATACATACATATCTCGTTCGCATGTAACTTTCGTATTTGTATATAGATATATGTATGTACGTGTGAAAGAAGAAATTTGACTTTGATAAAATGCTGTGATAAAATTAATGATGAGCGCATTGGTAAGTACAGTTATGTACTTACACACATCCATAAAAATGTTATATGCACGGCTCTAGAGGAGAGAAAATTAACGGCTTTTACATACGAGTATGTATTTAGTTACCTAAATACCAGTGCAAACATTTCCAATAAATAAAAAAGTATACATATGCACGTATTGTATATGGATATAATAAGGTGTTTCCCATCACAGACACAGTAAAATACGCTGATGCTGGACATTTCCATTCGAA